TTAAAATAATAAAAGTAAATGTAATGTATGACTTAAGACTAGTAGGGGATTTTTCATGTTAATATTTTATCTATGTACAAATGTTCAGACACGTTCAGAGAGATGTTCAGAATCAAAGAAACCAAATTTTCCTTTTATTACCGTTACAGAAAGATGTTTGTTTTGGTTTTCTATAATTTAGGCTAAGAGCACACTGTGTTTTAAAGTATTCTTGTTTAGTTTGTTTAGCAGAAAACGCAAAATCGTTTACTTTGTGACTCCTATTTCCAATCGGTTAATGGCATGCGCTTGTGTAGAAGGCTCTATGTTACAAACCGCAAAGTTTCAGACTTGCGTTTAATTCCAGTGCGGTTTCGTCTTTTGCTTAGGGATCATAATGGGCATATGCGTCTGATAAAAAAAAGGGTTAAACATATGTCCTCGCGAACATTATTGCTTTTTTGACATTATTTTGTATTCTTCAGAAGAATGATTAACGTGTACAAAAAATTTCGTAAATTCAATATACTTTTTTTTAAAGAAGGTTTAGCCTCAGCTAGGGCTTGGAAACCGGTTTAATTTTTGAACCGGTTCGACGTAAGTATATGCGGAACTTTACATAAAAGGTTCAGCTCCATTGAACAGGTTTTTAAACCGGTTCACTAGAAATACGGTTTTCTTCATTAACCGGTTTAAATATGACTCCAGACAATGATCTCACAAACTTCAGCGCGGTTTTTAAGTGCCTATAGTCCTATATTAACATCCGTACACATGTATGATAATTGTCATCGCTTAAAAATGATATAATTCGCATTAAAAGCGTAAGACCATAACTTTTTACGAAGCAAGTGAATTAACTGGTTTTTATTCCATCCGAATTTCACTCCGCATTTAGTTCCGATCCGGAACGAAACATTATAAGAGAACAGATTTTACCTAAATAAAAACGGTTTATTCTGAACCGGTTTCAAGCCCTGGCCTCAGCTCTATTTCTAGGACAAATGAAAATTGGGCATTGACCCAAATTATATTAGGTACCTGTAGGATTATTGAAAGTAAACGATACGTATTGCTACCCATAGAACTGTATCGTTTTCGTGCAGTACTTGTATTTAGTTGAACTGGATGGGGTAAGTGATTAAATTAGAAAACAACGGCATATTCATAAAATTAAAATTATCGGTAAGCAATTTCCTTATGGTAATAATTCGATAATACCCCAATAATTTAGTCTATCTAAAGATATATAACTCAAAGGTGATTGACTGACATAGTGATCTATCAACGCATAGCCCAAACCACTGGACGGATCGGGCAGAAATTTGGCATGCAGGTTGATGTTATGACGTAGGCATACGCTAAGAGAGGATTTTGATCAATTTATCTCTAAGGGGATAAAATAGGGGATGAACATTTGTATGAAACTTTATCAATTTTAAACCGATCGGGCTAAAACTTTGCATGCATAAAGCTTTTATGACGTAGGCATCCCCTAAGAAAGGATTTTCATTAATTCTATCCCCAAGGGGATGAAAGTTTGTATGAAACTTTGTCAATTTTAAACCGATCGGGTTCAGACTGCATGCATAAAGCTACATAAGCATCCCCTAAGAAAAGATTTTGATAAAGAAACTTTATTTCAGGTATTTCACACGATATCATGAATAAATATTCGTTAGAAATGCTGCTCAAAGTTACTTTACCACGCGGACGAAGTCGCGGGCAAAAGCTAGTTTAGATACAAAGCTTTTGTAGATGATGATGATGTATGATGTTCGGAGAATGAATCGATTCTTGATAGACCAATCTTTACGTCATCGATTTTATCCGAATCGATCTTAAAGGTCTCGAATCGATTAGCAAGATCGATTCTTTTGCTATAGATCGGTCCGAAACCCTACTATAGGTATAGCGTATAGTTGCAACGTTTTCGGTCTGAACAATAGTTTCAGTATGATAAATAACAATAATGTATACTATTGCATTTATAATAACAATGACGTATCTCCTATTTTCTAGTGTACAATACCGTTTTCAACGTATCGCCGTATCTCGGAATCTGAGATCTCGCGTTCGATTCCGGGTCGGGTCTGTATACTAACTAAGAATTTTATCGCCCATCACATATACAACGGTTACAAAGTAGGTGGGAACATAGAAAAAAGGAAACAACAAAGGCAAGTGTGTACGAGTTTAAGTAGGTACCTACATGTATGTGATGGGGTCAATTAGGACACTACTCAGCTTGTGCCGTTACGGTAAGAACCATTTGGTGCCGCCCGCAACGGCGCTGGTAGTCTAGCAGGGATTGTTAAAAAAAATGACTTTAGTATATATAATATACATGGTCATGTGTTAAATTTTATTGTATATAAATATCTACATATTTCAATTTACGAATAAAATGTGCTATATAAACAAAAATCTGTTTCGAAAATAGCAAGTAATATAGAAAATAAACTTTACTATAATGTCTCGAGTCCGGGAACTGTGGTTGCTTATTACTTTCGAATTTCCAAAGAACCGAGGGCTGTACTTATTAAGGATCTGAGAAAAGTATATGAAAACAACTTCACTTATTTTGTTTACCAACATTACGAAGACCTAATTTTTATTATAAGAAAGTAATTTATTAAGTACCAAAACCTAAAATTTTAAGTTGTTAACTGTTGACAACCTAAAATTATAGCTTTTGACCCAATGACGTAGTTTTCCCACTTTCATAAGTGTTACAACACTACACTGAATAAACGATAATGGGTTTAAGGCTATTAGTGTTTATTGCTCTGTTTACTTGTAGCTGTAAATAGAAAATAAGCACTGTAACAGTTACTGATAAATCTGAAATATTAAAACATGCTTATTGTTACTGACATATTATGTACATATTTAAAGTTATTAATATCTTTTCACAAATTATACAATACGAATTGACATTATGTAAGTTACAAACTGTACTACGGACTACGTTGTAGCTTAAATTCAGGCGTAGCAATACGTGCGCCCGATGCGTCTCTGAATAGGACGTATTACTGCAAGTTTCTGCCGCCAGTGGGCAGCACTAGCACAAAAACTAGTAAATAGTAATATAGTATATTTTTCAGTATAGCATGGTGAATGCAAAATTGGTCAAATATAATAAAGGAATAAGAAAACTTTTTTTTTACAATAGTCATTGAATGAGTAACGAGAATTGTATTTTTTTTATTATTTTATAAAGAAAGTGTATTTTTATCCAATTGTACAACAGAGCAACGTATTTCGAGTATATTATATTAATGAAGGGCATCCTCAATTTCAAAAACATAAAAAGTTTGAAAATTATAGTTTAGTATTTACAGGTAGCAGCAACACATTGCTTATACAGTTATCTAGTAACAAAACACTACAAAATGATTAATATATCCTAAATTTGTAATTGTAATGTTTCAAGTAAAACTTTTGGTATCATAGAATAATCTTTTCTTTTTCCTTGTACCAAAAAAAATTACTACGAACATAAAATAACGCCATAATAAGTAGGTAAAACACAAATTTAGATATTACAATTACAAAATGAATATATTATGGTTACTTTAATCTGTGCTGAGCTTTGCGTAATATTACCGTGAATAAAAAAAAAACAAAAACTTCAATAATTAAACTCTCGGTCTTCGGAAAAAAAAACTTTCGGCAGCTACATATGCTAGTATATACTGACTCACTTAAAATTTTATCAGCTTATTGTAGTGTTTTATACTAGATAGAGAACTACGAGTAACATCAGCGTCGGCTTCAAACGAGTGAATTCTAGGTGTATTTTTCGTATAGTATATAAAGAATATATCCTTAATTATACACCAAAATTATTAATGAATTGATCAATCGGTCTTATCGTCTTTTGTTGACAACTTTATGAATTACCTCTTTTTTTTTTTAACGAGTGATAGACGAGACGAATGATAACATATTATAAAAATCGTTTGCGGGATAAAAGATATTTAGCATTTCAAAGATCTATAGGTTTCGCATGTCAAATAACAACTCCATACTTTTTATTATTATGTAATAGTTGAATTAATTATAATAATAACCCAAGGTACCGTATGATTTGCAATTTAATTATTAAAATTATCACATGGTGATTGGTGAATAAAATCGTGATTCATATTCATATATTGAATAGTTCAAATATTTCGTGCGTATGCGTGTGCGCCGAGTGGTAATCTAGTGGTTCGAGACCAAGATAGTGTTATCAATGTGTCTTGTTTACTTAACGCTGCCGCTAGCGGCGCGGGTCTTTGAAGCCATCGGGATGCTTTGGTTTTATTTACTCGATTATTATAATTTTTTTTTTATATAAAAGTATATTAAGTTTATGTAATTTACTTACAAAATTGTGTATTTATGGTGCGTACAAGGCGTGACTTAATGAAGTCAGGCGAAAGACGAGGCTGAGTACATGAAATGTCATGTCATAGATAACATCAGAAGCCCAAGTAAAGACACGATTGCGTCTGAAAATAAATATTTTGCTAGTGAAATTAATATAAATTTACACGTTAGTCCAAAAGTATGACTTTAACCTATATTTTTATTAATATTTGTTGTTTACATTCGGTGTTTTCTCGATACCGGAATACGTATGCACTACGAAATTTTCGTTTACTTGGCAGTCGTCCAAAGCATTGCGTTTCTTCGTTTGATAACTGTTTTAGAATTGTACATGATGTTATGGTGTGAGATCTGTGTAATGTAATGTTTTTTATTTGATGTATAACATCACTGATATACTCAAGAATCATAATCTAAAACCAAATGCCTGATTTCGTCATCGTACACCATATTATTAATAGATTTGCAAACATAGAAAGATAGAGTGTTCGCGAATTCATAATTAATAATTAAATCAATAAATAAAAACTCGTCGGCCGGTAAGACCATGACGCATCACACGGTCAAATAAACAATCGAACTGTGACAGTGTTGAGGCGTGCTATCGCATTTTCCGGAGGCTGGCAAGCTTGCTTTGCGGGCGCGGCAGTGCCGCCGGCGCACGCGCACCGAAAGCATGTGTTGCGCACCACCAGTGCGATGTACATAGAACCGGCCGCGTTCCGCGCACCCAGCGCCGAGTCCCTCGCCGGCTCGGACCCGCCCGCGACAGTGTGGACACAGTGTTTACCTTCCCCGTTATTCGCAGGAAAAAAAGCGCCCCTCAAAACCTTCGAGGAGATCCAGCCCCTGCTCCAGCAGGGCCGCAAACGAGAACTCAAACTACTCATCAGAGAGAACTCGTGGCCTATCAACAGCCCCGTCCGCGCCTCTCTCTGGCCCGCCCTCTGCAGACAGCATCAACATGGAAAATCGATGCTCGACGGCTTCTACTGGGACATGGTTACACAGGTCAGTGATCTCTCTGTGTTGCGCAACGTCATTCGATTCTTTCAAGGCCCACAACTCTCGTTTGTGCTCTCATGTTGTTTGCTATCTCGCGAAACCGCGGCGAGCTCTTATTATTCCCAAGGTCATGCTTATTTACTTTTGTGCAACGCTACCCAAATGTTTATGAGATATCGCGCCCCCAGATAAAGATATGACGTTCCAGTGAAGGCCGTCAAAACAGTTTTCATTCAAGTTTTGGATGAAAACTGTTTGTTATAAGATTAACGGTCAGTTGCACAAACATCTATAAAGGTTTAATGACGCATTTAAGCTCTAATTAATTATAAATCTGTATCGGTAAAGTCGTTTAAATTAATGTCACTTTTAATTGACGGTTGCGCTAGTGACTGCTAATCTCGATAATTTATGTGATACCTTACTTGATGTGTTTTATCTTTATATGATTCCTTGACGGTCTGTGACGAACTTGTGAAAACATTTGATAGTGAAATTAACTTAAATTTTGGTCATACAAAATTTCTTAAGAAAGTTTTCTTTAATTCAATCGAATTTACAGTATTTATTTTCTATCTAAATACTTTGTATAGTAAATTGTACCATTTCCGACAGCCAAACCTAATAAGAATGCTTTGGTAAACTTTTGAAATACTATTCAGCCACTAATCAGTATTTTAATTATTTTCATACCCTAGACTATTGTTCGATAGGTTTCCGTTGAATATAAGTGGTAAATAAGAACATAGAAAAGTGGTTTGTTGGAGTAAATTTCAATTTGACAATTAATAGTTGACTACGAGATTGCTACCTGTACCTTATACTTGTTACTCCGTTATTCCGCGATCATGACTCGCAACAATGACGATGAAGGTTTAAAATAACATATTATTTATTTGTTAGTAGTATATTTATTAGATTCTGCATTCGAATGATGTTTTACGTATTCGAACTCTAGTATCTATGTCAAAAATAGCCTGAGTTCCTTATATTCGACTCGCTCCTTGTGTTCGACATCAACGTGCGCGCGGCGCGTCCCGTCAGCGATGCTCACGCGCATCACAATTAGACAAACAATAGCCGCTAATTACACCTCTCGACAATAATCGCGTACATACATTTTTACCAGTTAATTGTTCCTATTTCTTTTTTAATTTATAATCATGTACAGAGTTATTGTGTTACTTGATTTCAATGATAACAGTATGAGTGTACTATTTAAAAAATATTATCATTGTGCTTAGTGTATCTATCCTACTAATCTATCGATGAGATTTTCGCCCTAATTTAATACAGGCTTTGGAAATATATATTATGTCACCCTTATCATTGAATTCATATACGTAATTATGGTTTATTGTCTATGAAAAAACAGGTTTATTGTCTATGAAAAATATATTAAACTGATTAGTTATTATGATGAAGTAGGTGAACCAGGGATGAGGTTGCGGAAACGTGCAATCTTGATGCATGGGGGCGCGTTCCCGCCGGCGTCACCTGATCTTTTAGGGGTTCCAAAGTGGGGTAGGGTCGGCGCTCTCTCCTTGCAGGATGCCTATTCCCTAGGAGCGCTATTCTACTCTAGTAAGAGTTTAAAATGGTGCCCAGGAGTGTTGATTGCCTAATTCTAGCCATATGATAGAACATCTTAGCGATTTTATGACGATATTTCGTTTCATTTTAGGACTGTGTAACGTTGTTCTATTTAATGATAAAACAGTAAATTAATGTTTACGTGTCTCCGTATTAATTATGAATTGTTTATCATTATTTACAAACTGCAAATAAATTAAAATAAATAATAATCTTAAAACTATGTTAATTTTTAATGAAAACTTAATAACTACTAAAGAATAAATAATTATACGTTAAAAAAAAAATACTTAAAACCTAACTATATACAAATTAAATATTTACAAACAAACAGATCGCACGCAGATGTAATATATATATACAGCGATGTTGGCGCGGGCGCGGGTAGCATAAAAAACGATAACAAGTCGACCGCGCGGCGGCTGGCGGCGGCCAGCCGCTCGTGCCTGTTGCGAGCCACACTTACAAATGAATCTTGTTTGAAAACAGCTGTGTAACGCTTTTCAAAATATAAAGTCTGTTCGATTTTTACTAAGTCTTCGACTGACGATTCTTATTTTAAATAAATATATAAAAAAAAAAGTTTAAATAAATATAAGAAACACTTAGAAGTGTAGTGAAAAAATATAATCCCGTACTGGGTAAGTTGTGCATTTAACCAATTATTTAATGAGTAGAAACGTTTGAATTATTGTAGTTACTTATTTTACATTTCTAAGTATGCAGCTTTTGCTTAATTAATTTACTTAAGTTTAACAAGAATCACCGTAATATTTCATGATCAATAATAAAAGTCATTATTGATATATATTTTATATTGCTACCTACGTTCCATGTTCTTTTTTTTATTTCATTTAAATGCCATCAGTTTATGTAACCGTTACTGCTTTTTTTATTTATAACTGCCACTTCGACCCAGATTAATTAAGAATACTCTCTTCACTCCTGTACTAACTAGCTTTGCTAGATTCTACGATTTAATTGCTAATTTTAACGACCAACGCTAGTGGCAGTACCCGACTTCTCTTCATAGGGTAATAATGTGGCATTATTGTGACTTCTTCAGGAACTCCGTACGGATTAAGAAAATCACGCCAACTTTACTTATATTGGGAATTGATATTTGAGAATTGGAGAAGTGCCTTATGGAAACCAGAAATTGAAGCCCGGCGCACCGTAGAATTCACAGGAGTACAGGGAAGTTCTATCGAGTGATCTACCATCAGACCTCTAAGAAACCTACCCACGACCCTAGGGACCTTGACCTCGATTTTACTTATCGCAAATAAATATTCTTTCTTATATATCGTTCTTTTTTTTTTATTTATCACTTAATAAGAAAAGAACGTGTCAACTGATATGTACTTTAATAACGACAATCAATTGATAAATAATGGTGATTATGGATTTGGCGGCAGTGTTACCAATTTAGGAGTTTATCTATCGAAAGATCAATAAAAGACATGTCAAAATTATAAAATCAATCGAAATATCGTCATAATATACGCTAAGACCAGACGTTGTATCCTATGGCTTAGACTTAGAGTGTTAGGCGGCTGGTCATTTTGCACAGCCCTGTTTTATAAGAGTATTGTTGTCTTCTTCATAAGAATATTTCTCGGGCTTAAGCGTGTTAAAAATAGCGGTCCAGTCATTATCGAGTTTGGCACTTAGTAATACATTTAGCTGTTTATTTTTATTATTCTCAGATTAAATTAGATTAAAGCTTGAACTAGAAACCAGTAATAAATGTCCCACACGTATAGTGTCAGCACAAAATACTTAATGTGTTGCCCAACAAATCTTATGACACGTATGAGATCACGGCATTATAAACGACATGTCATTGTCATAAGGTTTTATTTTGTCATAAAAGATTTATAGATGTCTCATTAAACAAAGTCTCCGTTTTGATATCCTTCAACCAATTTATAAAAGGTCTTTAACTTTTATAAATTGGTACCGCGATATCATCAACTGTCTACACACCGATAATGATGAATCATTTTTTGTTTGCCACGCTATATTTTCTAGGTGTTTCCAGAAAAATTAATAACTTTGTAAGTTTTAAAATATAATTAACAACAAATTCACTGTTTTCTAGAGTAAACTTTCCTTGTTTCAAAACTGCTTGTTTTATCTGAGTGCATTGATGGTTTACTTATTATTTCTGAGTATAATACATATGTACGTGATTGGCAACGCGTCAACTGTGTGCCCCGGTTCACCTTGCTGGCCTACCCTCGCACGCTGCTCCGCATTAAGTTTGTAGTTTGTCCACAGATCTGTCAATACATATGAATTTGTGTGATCGATTTATCATATTATATGTTTATTAATTTTATGTAAACTGCTTCTATTTTATCTGCGTTGTTATTTGGTTGTTTACCAAAGTATTTGTTTTTTTGTTATTTATACCTATGTAGTCACGAAAGTCGACATAATAGTAAGTTTTTGAAATAAAACCTTATATTTACGACAACCTCCATGCCAGTATAAAGACGTAAACCATTGTAATTTTTATTACTGTCACTAGTATTTATGCCGGTGAAAAATCCGGTTCATTATTCATTTCTCGAACTTTCTATGCTATTGTGTTGCTTGCCGTCTGTCTACACTATCTGCGCTAATATTATAAATATAAAAGATTTACGTTTTCTTTTGTGTTGAATAAACTTTATATTGGATAGACTTCACCAGTGGAATGTTATATAATCTTTTTCAGCGTATTTATTTATAGCCTATATTTTTTTTATCCCAAACTTCCTAAGGAAACAGTCCAGCAAAAAATATCATTGGCTTTAGCTAGTTTATACATAAACGGTGGATTGTATTAAACCCCTCGATATTCATACAGAATTTGGCGAATGCTTAGATTTAATTAATAATATGCCTTTGAGGAAAATCACTTTCCTCGTTGGACCGGACGTCCTCCGGATATTTGTCCGGTGACAATTTGGGATGCAATATGCGTGATTCAATGAAAGTGTTCGTGCAATGTTCCCGTGGAGATTGGCCAAATATTTAGTTTCTTATTCGCAGAAGTGCCTACTCCAAGAATGTGATTCCTAAAATATCGCACAATCCCATTTAAAGAGCATGACTTAATAATATGTATTTTCTCAGCTATTTTTGGATTTTCAGTGTCAATGGCAAGCTAAGTTATAGTGACATTGACTCATTTTTCTATTTAAGCGTTGCAATTTAACAATTGTATTTTTACAATATGTCAAGTACTTAGTACCAAAATATGAAAATATATAGTTGTAGAGCTAATGAGCGACTATATATAGTACATTTAAATCTTTTGTCAACCTCATAGCTGTATTCAAGATACTCCTGGTTTTATATGTGTGACGCAATATGTGAACATCTTAAATTTTTATCTGGCTCTGTTTGTGTTACTTTTCTTT